GGAAGGCCTGAAGGGTGGCAAGGGTCCAGATCTCCACGGGGAGATCGTTCCAGAGGGCCGGAGCAGCCGCAGAGAAGGCTCTCCCCAGGGGGGTCGACAGTCGACATTGGCTAGCAGATGGAATTCGGAGGAGGCGTAATCTGTGGGATCTAATTGGTCGTGAGGAGGTAATTGGCAGAAGGCGGTCTCTCAAGTACCCGATACCATGTAGGGCTTTAAAAGTAACGACTAGCACCTTGAAGCGCATCCGGAGTCCAATAGGCAGCCAGTGCAGCTCGCGGAGGATAGGTGTAACGTGGGTGTACCGAGATGCACCCACAATCGCTCGCGCGGCTGCATTCTGGACAAGCTGAAGTCTCCGAATGCTCTTCAAGGGCATATAACTTTATAAATGAATTTTATAAATAAAATAAAGTAAGAGGTTAATCATTTGGATTATAAAAGGGCTATAATTAAACTAAAGTTTAAGCTAAAAATGTCTAAATTCATATGATGGAAGAACAGAGATTTAGTTTGGTTTTCAGTAATAATTGCAATAGTTTGTTTTATAATGTTTTTTTTTTCTTTTTGGTAGATCAATGGGGGAGAAAAAAGACCTGCATCTGACATGGGAAAGAAACCCAAAACTCCCAAGAAGAAGAAAAAGAAGGATCCTAATGAGCCACAAAAACCTGTTTCTGCCTATGCATTATTTTTCCGAGACACTCAAGCAGCTATTAAGGGCCAAAATCCAAATGCTACTTTTGGTGAAGTTTCTAAAATTGTAGCATCTATGTGGGATGGCTTGGGAGAAGAGCAAAAGCAGGTAAAGTGTTACATTGCTTTTGAAATTATTAGTTTATTTATCTGCTATTTTGGGAACATTTCTTTTTATCACTAAAACAAGTTCTTATTATGCCCATATATCCGAGAACCAAATTTCTTTTACACGTATTTACCTATTGTCTTCAGACTAGTGTTAAAGAGTGGAAAAATTACATATGCATGATGTTACTAGATGGTCTAAGAATTTTCTTGTGAATTGGAATGCTTGCGTTGGAGATAACTGCTTTTTGCAAATTGTGAATATAATAGGCATCCAAATTTTTCAAAATCGACTTTGTTGAACCATGACTGCATACCATTCAAAACAGGAGCAGGATGATATTGTATTCCTATCAGAATAACAGCTGGAAGGGACCTTGGAGTTCTTCTTGTCCAACTTCCTGCTCAAACAGGATACTCTGTACCATTTCAGACAAATGGTTGTCCAGTCTCTTCTTCAAAGCCTCATTTTGGAGTACCCACAACTTCTAAAACTTCAAATTTATTCTTGCATAGATAACCTATATACATTTGGTTCACTGTGGAAACAGAATGTTGAGCAGATTGAGTCTTCAAATATTCTTATGATATGCTTACACTCATTGATGTTTTGAAAATTAACATAGGTCCATGTCAAGAGTAGCATTGGTTTGCAGTATTCATTTCTAGGACTTTACATCTAAATTCCATATTACTGAACATCAGTGGTCTGTTAAAGATATATTTTTCAGATGTTTACTAACAGTTTTTGCAATTCCAATAGAATATGCTTTCTGGTTACTTTTCCCCTTTTGCATATTAATGCTTTTTGTGCATACATTTTAATAAAACAAACATGGATGAAGTTTTCCTACTTTTCATTTTGAGGTCATCCTTGTAATTTTTATTCTAATACTTCATTAATTTCTACCAAGTATAACTTCACTTACGGTAACATCAGTACTAATAGTAAGGTAATCAAAATAATTTCACCAATTTCAAATAATGCTTTTTTTATCTATAGTGCCAGAGAATAATCATAATATTTTGAGATTTTCTAATAGTTGTAATGACTCAATATATTGTATTGGTTAGATTATATTTTGTAAATGACTTCGCTTAATAATACAGTATGGTAGCTGAATTATTGAACAAACCAAGCTGAACAAATTACATTATAATTTTTCACCCATTTGATTGTTACATTAAGAAAATGGCTTTATTGGATAATTGAGTTTTTGTCTTTTTTTTTNCACCTTGAAGCGCGTCCGGAGTCCAATAGGCAGCCAGTGCAGCTCGCGGAGGATAGGTGTAACGTGGGTGTACCGAGGTGCACCCACAATCGCTCCCAAGGCCTGGGAGCCGAATCTGGCCCACAGGATACTTAGATCTGGCCCACTGGGCCACCCTGGCAGCAGTGAAGGACCGGCCCACAGTGCTTCTGCCAGCGAAAACAGGCTCCCGAGCTCTATTTTCGGCTACCATGGCTTCCTGCAACGCTCTGTCAGTGAAAACGCATGCTGCCTTCCTGAGCTATTTTCACTGGCAGAGGGTTGCAGGAGGCTGTCGCAGCCGTAAACGGAGCTCGGGAGTCTGTTTTCATTGGCAGAGCGCTTAGGCCAACACAGGCAGCCCCAACAGGAGTGATGTTGAGCTGGCTACACACACCCCAGCCCCCCTCCCCAGAGGTCAAACACAACCTTGATGCAGCCCTCAATGAAATCTAGTTTAACACCCCTGATGCATGTATTTTATTTGGGTCAAGATCAGAGATTTGATTCAGCCATTTCAAAAGGAAACATTTATTCTGTTTCATCCACTGTGTAATAAGATTTACTTGGGTGTTCAGGACTGCTGTCATATTACATGACCTACATTCATTTAAGCTTCAGCTAACTGATCTAGATGCTCCCTTGTAGAATTTGCTATTACCTCAAAGACTGTGAGCCATTTAAGTTCCAAACAATCCAAAACACTCCCACTCCAATGCTTCATAGCTGAGGTGAGTTCTTTAGTTGGAAACCAGCACTTATTTATTTTTCCAAATATAATATTTTTTCATTAGTGTCAAAACATTTCACTTTCATTTCACCTGGAACAGAGTGTTGTTCCAAAGGCCAGCTGGTCTCTAGTAAGTTTAAAATGTGTAACAACATGCTTTCTGGACAATAGTAGTAAGTGTCTACACGACAGTGAGTGTCATGCTCCATTGCAATGTTTTCCTTGTGGCCATTAATATTATATAATATAGAAGTATCGTACAGAGCTTATGACCTTAGGATTATTTAGAGTATTGAACTTGTGGCGATTTTGTTGGGAAAGATGTTGTATTTTGTCCATATATGTATTATTTTCCTGACAGTGGATTGATGGAAGTCTTGGATCAGTGGTGCAATTCAGTCAGTTCTATGCAGTTTCGGCGAACTGGTAGTGGGGGCAGCAGGAGGCTTCACCCACCTGGACATCATCACGTCCCGTTTTTTATGCTCCGTGAATGCGTGGAAGGTCCTGCGCATGTGCGGAGGTGGCGCATGCGAGCGAAGCCAGCATACACGCACACATTTGCTAACTGGTAGTGAAGGTAAGTAGATTTCACCCCTGCCTTGATTGATCTGTGGCACTTGATTGATATCTCATTGATCAGAACAGTTGACTGAACTTACTGCCTTAAGAGAGCTAATTATCCTAGGGTTTCACATACATCTTTCAACAAAGCCTGAATCTGTCAATAAAGACATGACACATTACAATGTTTCAATATTATTTGTTTAATCCTCTCTTTATCTATTAATTGGGCTTAGATAAAGCTCTAATCAAATTGCAGGTCACGGTCCTGATACATTATGAATAATTCCAAAAGATTCACAAACTATTTTAACACAGCATGTGCCTCCATAACAAGAACATTTCAAAAGGTGTAAAATGCAGGTATGAAACAAAATATTATCATTTTTCATTCTATAGTTCCTTACACACAAACCAGTTTCCCCATATACAGTTTGTGCATGTAATGAAGATTTCTAAAGCTGTGAAATTTTGGTGTGTTACAAGAAAAGGGAGAACTATTTCAAGATGACCCTCCTACAGTCAAGCAAAAGCTTCAAGGGCATTAGTTACCTTTTGTTATTTGTTTAATTGCCTGTGTTTTGTTTCATGGATTTTGTTACTAAAGCGTGGTAGACAGGGCTGTCTCTTTTATTATTTTCAGCAGCTGTTATGCCTTAGTTTTGTGCACAGCTCAGAGTCCACTGGAAATGAGTGGCCAATAAATTTAAAATAAATACCCATGCTTAATTGCCAGTACAAAAAATTATTTATTCAAAAGTATGCATTTAATACTTTTAAATATTATTTTCAAAGCTGCAGCAACATTGTAGCAGCACTTCTTTTCCTGCAAGTGTTTGAAGTCAAATCCATATTTGCTTTATAAAACTTCAGCAAAACACTGCAGCTTTTCAAATGTATTGCCTATATCACAAAACAAATTTGAGCTTCATTTTTAGCTAGTGATACTTATGTAGCATCTACTGTCATATAAAAATCCATATATTATTGAAACAGCATTGAAACTATCCACAGTTACAATTGTATTATACATGTAATATGTAAGTAAAGTCCAGAATATAGTAGGTTCATCATTAAAGATGAACATACATGCAAGGTAGAATTTAATGATTTTCAATCAGGCCTGTTTCTCTTTACTCAGAAATGTGTAATCCTACCCTTTTCTAACTTTTACTTTGTATCTTGTTTAGCATAGGAAGTATGACTGAAACATTAGATAGTTCAGCCAGGAAGGTAGATAGTAGTCTAAAGGGAGGGGAAATTGTGAAAACAGCCCACAGGCCCTTATTTAAATAATACGTTATTATGTCACATTCAAAGAATTTCTATGTTCTGCCATTCAGTACAATATAATCTAACTTCTTTGTTTCACTAATACCCAGTATTACACGACTGAAGAATAACTGTGGGAGTTCAAGAAGTTCAACTGATGTGGTTGAATTCACATATCAGGCAAATCAAGATTTGTTTTCACTATGATTTGTGGGATAAATCCAATGACCAGATTCAAACATCATAATAACCATAAGTAAGAGGTATATTTATTGCAAATATGATTTAGTATAATGCTTGAAATGAGAAATATGATTTTTTGAGATTTCCTGGCTAATTCTAGTCAAACTTCTAATCATCTAATAATGCAAGACAGCTATAAAAAAAAAAAGAGTGGGGTGAAACCAGAAATTGGTCAGACAACCCAGAACTGCGTTCCTCATCTCCAAACCCAATTCTAGCTTACTTAGCAACCTTGTTGAAACAGTGCATGTCACTTAGCATGGTGTGTGAACAAAGCCATTGTATTTGACTTCTAAACATTCCCAGCTTTCTTCTATGCCAATTTCAGTACTTCTTAAAACGACTGGGGGATGAAGAGCCATTGAGTGCCCAACTCTCAACTTCACAGATCACTAATGAAAGAGACTTTGTTACTTGAGCAGATGCTGTACAGAACAGCCACTTGAAATAAGAGAATCAAGCTTTCTACTTAAAACATAGGAAGTATTTCAAGGATTTAAGCTGTAAACTAGGCAATACAATGACTTACTCTAAATGAAAAAATCTGTATCAATGTAAACTAAGTAGTGTGCATAAACAACAGTTCACAAATGTAATCACCAGGGAAACTGCCTGACCACTTTCTAGTAACCCTTCCTATCCTAACTCTTCCTTCTGTGCTTTAAAGGGCAGTCAAGACCTTGCCACCACCCTGAGCCTAAAATGGGAAGAGAGAAGTTTTTAAATATCTGACTTTATGCTATATTTTAAAAGACATTCCTGTCCCCCTTGGAGCACTGGGTCAAGATGAGACACTCTTTTTAGTAAAATAATTTACTGTGTCTTATGACTAAACTCTGGCAAAATTTGAAATTGGAGATTTAGATTTATGACAAAGTGTGAGCTGCCTTACACAAAATATACTTTCTCCAAAAGTGTGACGTCGAGTGGAAAACCATATAATTAAATGTTAACATAAGATTTCTTTTTTGCTCCTCCTTTAGAGTTTGAGACATTTAAAAAATTGCCTTGTCCTATATTGAGTCTTAACAGCAGCCTTAGCTTGATTATTAACATGCCAGTTTTTACTTTGCTCAATTTTTAACTTAAAAAAAACATGTGTTTGTATCAAAGCAAAGTGTTGTTTAAGGGAGATTTCTAGGTGAATACTTGCATACTTCTAATGTGTCTGCAATGAAGTGTTCAAGTTCAAGCATGTTAATTTTAAGTTAAAAGAAAAACATTCATGACACTATGCATATTTACTTGCAGTCATGCTAAATTGAAATTTTTTCTCATCCTTGTTCTTTGCACATTGGCTTTCTCTTTCTCCTTCACATACCTGTATTAGTCTCATTTGATGGTAAAAGAGTTTTAGCAATCCAATTTCTTAAGCTACCTTTTTTACCCAATCTAGCACCCTTCACATTTATGGCAGTTCAACTTCTAAAATACCATTCCCAAAGTCCAGAATATTATATAATTTTGAGGTATTATATGTTATATATGCATCTACCTAAGTATTTTACACTTCTTTCAGATACATATTTTGTTTTTGTTTTTACAACATTTTGGCTGATATTTCTTTCTGAGTGTTTCTTCCTATTATATCTCAAATTAAATATGGAAGTTTCAACTTTTCTGTCTTCATAAAAATTAAGGAGAAAGAGAGGGAGGGAGGGACAGAGAGAGAGAGAGGGAGGGAGGGAGAGTGAGTTCTAATGAAACTACAATGGCGAAACTGAGAATCTTCACTGCCATGATACCAGGGGGAAACTTGTATCTCTTTATCCCTCGAAGCCTGCTTTCTTAGCAATATTTCCAGTTCTACCCCCTCCTCCTTCCTTGCCCCATATACAATAAAAGCTATCATGCTGCTTTTTCAGATGTTTTTCTACATCTCAAAGATTCCATTTGTTTCTGTTTTGTAGCTACTGTTCATGGTCTTGAGGACTGTTGGTTGTCCCTTATTTATAACTCTGCTAACATCCTTTTTGAAAGCTCATTTCTTGATAAATCTATGAAACTTTTTAAAATGTTTTTTCTTCTGTTCAGAATAGTCTTCCCATTTCTGTATCTGAAATTCCTATTCTTTAAATAGGCTTTCTTGGCCTAAAATAGTCCTTCTTCTTCTCAGATGGAGCTTTTGGGCTGCATTTTATTTTGGCACCCAAACCAATCTCCTAAGCAAGATTGCTTAATGTGTACTTCAACACATACTGTACATAATGTCTTTTCAAAACTAAGTGTGAAACTAGCTATACAAGACAAACATATCAAGTCTATAGTACATTTTCTTTTTACTTCTTCGATATAATTTTAAGAGTTTAAGTTTTTCTTCTTTCTTCAGAAATAGAACTGTGGGTTCATTTTGCTATTTATTTCATGCCATTTAGGTGCTACCTAATTCCAAACCAACTGTAGGCAACTCGTAGTATAACAAACAATAAAAACAAAAACACATTCAGTAAAGATTTTTTTAGAACAACTGGGTCTTTCAAGGTCTAACAATATATAAACTGGGTGGAAGCCACATAGATCTCAAGTAGAACCACAATCCAGAGGGCAGGTGCTGTGACAGTGAAGAGAGGTTTTGTGGATCCTGACTCTTTAATTAGAGTTTGGTACACATCAACTCTACCAGCATGTACTGGGAGATGGGTGGTACCAAAAATAACCTAACCAAATGAGATGTCATGCTTTAAAGTGAACTAGCAGATAACCTGGAATATCCGGGTATGTATTTATCCCAGTCCTATATTAGAGGGAGCCCCCTTATGGAGTACTGCGAAGCCATTACCATGGCAACTCTACTGTGCTATACAGTAGAAGCCATTTTAAGGCACAACAGGCTGTATCTTAACAGAACCTGAATCCAAAATGCACACTATCACATTCTATCACAGTCTATAGTGTCATTGTGACTTGATACTATAGATATAATTCAGTCCTTTTCATTTCAGCGGCCCAGGAGTTCTGGAGTTATGCTGGAATACATACACACGGACACACCGAGGAGTGTTAGGGGTGTCTTACCCCCATAGTATTTGTTTCCAGAGAGGAAGTCATCTGTGTACCAAGTTTGGTTGAATTTTGTTGAGGCATTCCAGAGTTATGCTGGAGCATACATAGATACACAAATACACACAGCCATTTTTATATAGAGAGAGATTGCTCCGGCAATCAGTGCAGCTTATAAAGCAGAAGTATCACAGAGGTACACTGAAACATGCCTATCCCTGCCTATGCTGTAGCATTCTGATCCAATTGACGTTTCCAAGTGGTTTTCAAAAGCAGACAATCCTATTCTTACCTCTTCAGCTTCTGGCAATAATTTCAGAAGCTCGCGTAGGGTCTCAGAGCTATAGAAATCTCTTCCAGTATGAAGATCTTCAATTAGAGAGTCAAGTGATCTTAATGAGACAATTGAATAAAAATACATTTTAGTTTAGGAACATAGGATTTCTATGTTTTAAAACAACCTTCATCAACCTGGTTCTACCACAAAACCGCGGACGACAAAATCGCGGTCGACGAAAGCGCGTATGTGAC